GAAATCACCATTTGTTGACAAAATACGAAATGAAATTATCAAAGCAAGCCTCGAACCACTAATGCCTGTCTATGTCAAACTTTTTAACATCATTTTACAATCCGGAAAAATGCCAGATGTTTGGTGTCAAGGCCTCATAACCCCAATTTACAAATCTGGTGACAAGAGTGATCCAACAAATTACAGAGGCATATGTGTTTCTAGTTGCCTTGGAAAACTGTTCTGTTCTATTTTAAATCGAAGACTTCACTTGTATTTTGAGGAAAATAAGATATTACATAATTCCCAAATTGGCTTTTTGCCTGAAAACCGCACTGCAGACCATGTTTTCACTCTAAGGACCCTAATAGATAAATATGTGCATTATCACAAGGAAAAAGTCTACGCTTGTTTCGTAGATTTCCGCAAAGCGTTTGACTCTGTTTGGCACGAAGGATTGTTTTATAAGCTGCTAAAAACGAATATAGGAGGAAACTTGTACAACCTCATGAAAAGTCTTTATTGCAACTCGACATGTTCCATCAAAATCGGTGAAAACAAAACACAGCCTTTTTCATATTCCAGAGGTGTACGTCAAGGCTGTATTTTAAGTCCTCTTTTATTTAACCTCTATTTAAACAATCTACCACTTTTATTCGAAAACACCTTATCTGACCCATTTGTTCTCCCAAATGGGAAAAAAATAAATTCACTTTTGTACGCAGATGATTTAGTTATTCTATCAAGATCGAAAACTTGATTACAGAACTGTTTAAATGCGCTTTCTTTGTATTGTGACAAATGGAAGCTAAAAATTAATCCCAAGAAAACAAAAATTATGATATTCCAGAAACGCCCAAAAAAATCTATTGACATCAAATTCAACATAGGCAGTGAGTCAATTGAAATTGTCCAAGAATACACTTATTTAGGTACACGTTTAACTCCAACGGGAAACTTTACACTTGCACTCGAACACTTAAAAGAAAAGGCCCTTCACGCGTTTTCTAGTATTCGGAAGCGGACAATTCTTAACAAACTTAATCCTAATACTGCATCCCAAATTTTTTTGACACCATGGTATTCCCAATCTTGAGTTACAACAGCGAGGTATGGGGGAATGTACACCAAGCAAGATTTTAAAAATGGGATAGCTCCCCAATAGAAAAAAATCCACCTCAAATTCTGTAAACGTTACTTAGAGGTTAACAATAAGGCCTCTAACATAGCCTGCAGAGCTGAACTTGATAGACTGCCGCTGGTTATCCCGATAAATCAGAAAATTATGAAATATTTTGTTTACCTCAACAACAAAGATAATGACTCTATAGTCAAACAGTCTTTCCTTATGTCAAAGAATCTACATTCTATGAATAATTCCGGATATTTTTCCAATTTCATAAACATGCTTGAACAATACAATCTAACCAGTTTAGATGCTGAATCTCTAGATAATGATAAAATTAGACGATATACCACAGAAATGAGAGAGAAATATCTATCTTTTGGCGGCACAGCCTCGAAAATTCAAAAAACTAGAATTTTATAAAACTTTTAAAGATGAATATTCTACATCTGATTATCTCTACCAGCTAAGACATTATGACGAACGACAGAATTTTGTTAAATTTAAAATAAGTAATCACAAACTTATGATTGAACATGGTCGATACCAAATCGATCATTTGCCAAGAAAAATAGATTATGTCCTTTATGTAACTCAAATCAGGTAGAAGATGAGATTCATTTCATCTTTCAATGTAACAAATACTCAGTACAGAGACAGGCATTTATTAATCAAATCAATCGAATAATACCTGACTTTGACAAGAAATCATCTCCGGAAAGCATAAAACTGATAATGAATTCGAAGGAACATCATGTAAATAAGTTAGTTATGAAGTTTGTCTCCTCCTGCATGAAAATACGTGATTCATTGTTAGTAATGTAACCGAATTTTTCTAGATTGTTATTAGTGCTGTTTTGTTTTTATTTTGATTGTCATATACATGCTTTTGCAATACTGTAAAGTGATGCGGTCATGCAAATAAAGCAATTTATTACTATTATTACTATTACTACTACTACTACTACTACTACTACTACTAGTAAATAAACTACTATTACTACTTACTGCTAATTTGCTACTACTACTACTACTACTTCTGCTGCTGCTGCTGCTGCTGCTGCTGCTGCTGCTGCTGCTGCTGCTGCTGCTGCTGCTGCTGCTGCTGCGCTGCTGCTGCTGCTGCTGCTCTGCTGCTGCTGCCTGCTGCTGCTGCTGCTGCTGCTGCTGCTGCTGCCTGCTGCTGCTGCTGCCTGCTGCTGCTGCTGCTGCTGCTGCTGCTGCTGCTGCTGCTGCTGCTTGCTGCTGCTGCTGGCTGCTGCTGCTGGCTGCTGCTGCTGCTGCTGCTGCTGCTGGCTGCTGCTGCTGGCTGCTGCTGCTGGCTGCTGCTGCTGGCTGCTGCTGCTGGCTGCTGCTGCTGGCTGCTGCTGCTGGCTGCTGCTGCTGGCTGCTGCT